GTTACTGGAGGCCAAGGTAATGCCATCCAGAGTAAGAATCTGGTTAGATACCATATTTCAGATTTTCAGGGCCGAGTACAATAACCTCAGTTTGATCTGAATTAAGAAGCAGAAACTAGCAGCCATCTAGGTCTTTATGTCTTTAAGACATTCCTGCAGTTTAACCAATTGCCGTGTGGCTAGACCGTCCCATTTCACAGCCTCGCACTTTCGGCCTTCTCGGTCTTTGAAGGACCCGGCCCATGTAGACTGTGAAGGCCGGGTCCTTCACAGCTAGGGAGAGCAAAACTGAACACACAGACATAAGACGCAGACCTTCAAAGTAAAACCGGAAATGCACATTTATATACAACTTTTTGATGCTGTAATTACGGACCTTAGCCCAAACTGTCTTTTCTTTGTAACCAAACAGTGATGGGCCGTTCTCTCTGGCAGTGTGGACTCATTTTAGTTTCAGAACAATCTCATGAAGTGTTTCACTAAACTCTGATGTTCTGGTGAATGCAGTTCATTTGTTAGCATGTAGACAAACAATCATTAAAATGATAATGGTCAGCAGTGTTCCCCATACCAGGCGCATTGTGTTAAATGCAAATCCGGCCAGCATGAGAACAAATTAAACAAGAATAATATATACATATGAATAAAAACATAAACATTCAACATGATGTAAATGTTGAATTATAGGTAGTGTTAAAGCAGCTTGTAGTTCACTGATGATGTGAATGTCCTTCCAAATCTCTTCACACGGAGGTGTCATCATTCATTTTCACACACATCAGTTAAATACAATTTATTTAAAAACAAGCAGAGCAGTTATATTAACAACATGTTAGCTTTAAGTGTTAAATCTGTTCATTTCTGTGTGTTTCACTCGGGTAGATGTTATATGGTGTCAGAGAGGTCATCATCCTGCAGGTTTTACACGTGTGACTAAATGACCTCCATGTCCTGAAGTTCCCCAGAAGCCTGGTAACAAACTCATCATCTGATTCAGGTGTGATGACTCAGGGTGAGATCTAAAACCTGCAGGACACACAAGAGGGAGCACTGAAGCACCTGTGAGAACAAAAGCAGCTAAATACAAAGTAAAAGAGAGTAACAGAGACCTGAACAGACACGAAGCACCTGCACAAACGGTCGGGGCAGTGACCTCTGCAGGCCGACTGATGTGAGTCCACAGATGCAGGGCATTTGCCTTATTTGGGAAAAGACCAGTTCAAAGAACTTTATTATTTTCACATTCAGAGCAAGTGGTTGATCATCATTCATGTCACTGATGTTTGCTGTCTTTGGCACTGGAGGAGTAATGGCATGTAGGGAGCATTCCCAGAGTCGGCGAAACAGCAGAAACACTAAAGAACACCATCTGATTTCATTTATCGTTTCACTGAAGCTGAAAGGATCTTTTTAGCTCAGTGTTTGTTTCATTGTGTCTAATTTCAGATAAAAGAAGTGCAACCTGTGCAAATCTGCTTCCATTCTTACACTGAATTCAGCTTCTCTCACATGACTTTGTGTTGATAATGGTTAGATTGTGTGTGTTGGAGGGCACTGAATACGTAACCCCGGCTCCTTCATTTACAACCATGATTACCCAGCTTCCTCTCTGTTTCTCCCATTTCCAGCTGCACTGCAGCCTGTGGAGGAGGAAGAGGAGGGGCAGTCCAGCTCGTCTTCACTGTGTAATTTTACTCTGACAGTAAACAACATGTTCACCCGAGAGGACAGAAAAAAGCTACAGCTCGCCCTCCTCACGTCACTGAGCTCAGTGTCCCTTTAACCGTTCTGAAATAAAAACAGCTGACTGGCTCACAAATGGTGAGAAGGGGCTGGTCTGGACTTTTCTTATGTATTGCAATAATGCTAAGTTCTTGTGCTATTATTTAGATTGGGTTTTGCTGTGTTCAGTCTAGTTTTCGGAGCTGTTTGTGATTAGCGATAGCGGCTACGGGATGGTGGTTACTGGCTTCGCTCTCTAACAATGAAAGCTTTCCTCCTGCTGCTGCTGTATTGTTGTTTTGAGGAGAACCAGTGTGAACTCCCTCGAGAACAAACAGACAAAGACGTCTGCAAATAAACACACCAATCTGCCAACACGACACAAAACACACCCACACAAAGCTCTGCCTGTTGCTTCGGTCTGTGATGCTAATCACAGTTTTCCGCACGAGGGGGTGGAGAAGAAGACGGCAGGAGAGGAGGAGGAGAGGAGGCAGTGAGAGGAGAAGAAAGGAGAAAATGAGTGATGATAAGGTAACTCTTACCTCCTCAAAATGATCTCTGTGTATTTCTAAAGCGGTGATCCAGCCATGGTGTGGTAATGATGGTTGTCAGAGTGAAGGAACGTGTGTGAATGGACTGAGCTCTAATTTGGCACTCACGTGTGATCAGAGGTGACTCCAGTGTGGGATAGTCTGCATGTTAATCAGTGTTGCCTCCCTGAGGAAGACGGGAAGGAGGAACACCAAAACCCTTTTTCTTTTTTAAAGTACCCACTTGGATCGGCTCGACGCCACTGCAGACCACACGACTTGGTCGGTCCGATGAAGAGCCTTCCAGACTGCTGCTACATGTTGTAGCTGTTCTCTGTCACTGGGGGGCAGCGTCACAGACATGTTCATGTTTGAGCTGTTGGCACTGCTTTAAGCTGAGCATGCAGACTGTCTGAGCTTCCAGTAGTTTTTTCACATTTCTTGCTCTTGTTGTGAGCTCAACTTTCAACCAATCAGGGTGCTACCTGCGCATCGCTGTGATCCCCATCAGGCTTTGACAGCTGCATAGCAACATGTCTGCGTAGGCTGCACATCCAAAAAGTGTGCTGCAGAGTAAACTAAGCTGGAATTCACCAGTCAGACTGTAACAGTCACAATGGTGTGGTGTCCCTTTAAGACACCCAAGTCGAGGGTTGATGGTGTCATCAGTTTGTGCCACTGCTCTCTCTCTCTCTCTCTCTGGGATTATGAGGACACGTGCCTGCACGCTTGACGAGGGACGGATTTATGTTTTCTTCTCCAGACCCTTTTTTTGTTTTGTTTGCAACGCTTGGGTTGTATGAACGCTGGGCGTTATGTTGTTGAGCCGCAGCCATTCAGCTGGGCTTTTATATGGTTGTTGAAGAAGGCGTATTAAAGAACCACCGTGGATTGCCGATACCAGCGAGAGTGTGTGCTCTTCCGACTAGCCTGCTAGGTGTTTTGCCGCCTCCTCTCAACCACGCAACACAACCCAACGTTACAAGACCAAACTTGTCAAACATTACTTTAAACGAGACTGTGAGGCTGTCTCAAAGGCTTGATGCTGTTTATCTGGACGTAGCATTTCCAGGGGAAGAACAAGAAAGCTCCAGGAAAGAAGGACAACCACTGCCTAAGTGAAAACCTGTAGTGATCCCGTACGTGTCAGGAGTATCAAGTGAGACACGTTTTTTCTAAACACCGGGTCTCTGTGGCTTTTAGACCCCAAAACACGCTGCGCCAAAAATTGGTCCACCCCGAGGATCGGGTGCCCCAACACAAACAGAGTAACATAGTGTACGCTGTTAAGTGCAGGAGGATTGCTAGGATTTATACATCGGGGAAACCAAACAACCTCTGGCTACAACACAGAAGAGCCACCTCGTCAGGCCAGGACTCTGCAGTCAATTCAATTCAATTCAATTCAATTCAATTCAATTCAATTCAATTCAATTCGATTTCTTTATTGTCCCACAAGGGGAAATTAGTTTAGCAGCAGGAGGATAATAAATAAATAAAATAATAATAACAATAATAATGATAGAAAGTTCAAGGACA